TATCAAGTTTTATAATAGTGTTATACTAAGAAATAATAATCTGCAAGATTCCCTTCTTTTCCCATTTTATGGAAGAGTTTGAATAGAATTACCTATTACCTGAAATCTGAAGAACTTCCTTATGAAGTCTTCTGGTCCTGCCCACCTCCTTATTGACAGGTACAGTGACATCCTTTAAACTGAACCAGAAATCCTTTTCCTACCTGAGAAGAAAGCGTGGCCCATGCCGTACTGTCTAATAACTGAGATGGGGGCGGGGGGCTGGGGACCCTCTTCCCCAATCCTTCTACCCAAAACTAGAAGCCCAGTGGGCCCTTCCTCTATGGATATAGGAAGCCTGAACACTATGTTAGTGGACCCTCTCAAGGTTTAAAATCCCTAGGGCCAGTGAGAGTGAATCAGAAATACTGATTGGCATAGCCCCTTTTCTATTTTTGATGGTTATTTGTGTTTTCCCCTTTATTTTTTCTTTCCTGATAATCTCACCAGAGGTTTGTAAATTATAATGGGAATCTAAGGTATGTTCTCTATTTCATCAAATATTTAATATTCAACAGTTCTTAGTATTTCCTGTCTTCGGGGTGACTTCTTGAGATGTATACCTAGCTAATTAATTTGTAGTTCTTCTTTTCTAATGTAAGCATTAAAGACTACCAATTTCCCCCAGGGTACTCTTTAGTGGCAGCCTACAAATTTCTTTCTTTTTTTTTTTTTTAAAATTTTTTTTTTTTTATTAATGAAAGAGAGAGAGAGAGAGAGAGAGAGAGAGAGAGAGAGAGAGAGAGAGGCAGGCAGAGGGAGAAGCAGGCTCCCAAGGAGCAGGGAGCCCGATGCAGGACTCGATCCCAGGACCCCGGGATCATGACCTGAGCCGAAGGCAGACGCTTAACCATCTGAGCCACCCAGGCGCCCCTACAAATTTCAATATACGTAGGATTCTCGTGAACATTCAATTCAAAGTGTTTTCTAGTTTCCATTACAATTTTTCTTTGAACATTTGTTATTTATTTAGAAGTGTATTTCTTAGATTTCAAGCATACAGCTCTTGCACTTCTTTAAACTTTTACCCGAAATGTCTGTATCTATAAACAGTACTTTAAACATACTAGAATACATGCTTTTAAACTTTACATAAATAGAATCATATAACATTTATTTTTAAGAAAGGAATTGTTTTAACTCTATTGTACATTTATGAGATTCAATCTCGTTGACACTTGCTCTAGTTTCATGGCTGTATAATGGCCCATTATAGAATCACACCGTAACTTAAATGTACCTAATTATGGACAGTTAGGGATTGTTATCAAATTTCACCATTACAAAATACTGTAAGAAACATCTCTGAGCACCTGGGTGGCTCAGTCGGTTAAGCGGCCGACTCTTGACCTCAGCTCAGGTCTTGATCTCAGGCCCTGCATTGGGCTCCACGATGGGCGTGGAATCTACTAAAAAAAAAAAAAAAAAAAAAAAATCTTCCTACATGTCTTCTCATGTACACATGTGAGGTCTCTCTAAGGTACTGAGTTAGGAGCAGAATTGTATTTTGAACTTTGTTTTTACCAAATGATTCTTTAACATGGTTGCAGCAACCATTTCCCTCCTTGCTCTTTTATCAGCAGTGTATCAGAATTCTCTTCCTATTATGTCACATATTTGCCTATGTTCTTTAAATTTTTAACAATCCGATGGGTATGAAATAATAGTCCCTAGTTTTAATGTGCATTTACCTCACCTTACCAGGGAAATTTTCATGTTTTTGGCTATTTGTGTCTCCTGTGAATTATATTTGTATCTTTGGCCTTTTTTCCTACTAAATGGTTTGATTTTTTTCTTACTGAACTAGAGAAGTTCTTAAATATATTGTGAATACTAACCCTCCTTTGATCATAGTATGATAAAAAAATAAAAATTCCTTTTAACCCGTCTATGACTTAGTTTTTTAGGATGACACATTATTATGAAACTCAAACAAGAGGAAACAATCCACCATTCACTGATCTATACATATGTGATAAAACTACACAAAGAAAGGGTATAACAAAACACAAACTTAAAAATTACATTCTCTCTCAGGGGAGGCAAGGTAATGTGAATGGAAAGTAGATGCAATAATGATAATGTTCTTATTTTTTAAACTGGTTGATGAATTCACAGATGTTATTTTATTATGACCCATTCTTGCTTATATATTACAATCTTATGTTTGTATCATAATATTAAACGTGAAAAAGGAAAGTCACCTGTAGTAACAGCAGACACACAGACACATATATGCACACTCATTCTTATCTGATAGATAACAGCTTATAAATGGGAGAAATAATGCCACACTTTGGTATGTTCTGAAACATAATGAATCAGGAAGGTAAAAAACAAGAGTAAGAGAAAAGGAATGAAGTATGGGAGGAGGGGAGGGAGAAGGAAAAAATATGGGAAGGAGAGGCAAGGGGAAAAGGGAAATGGGATAGAAGGAAGAAGGGAAGGAGGCAGAGGAGACAGGAAGGGAGGGAAGGAGGGAACTTTCTTCATTCCAAAATCATAATCTTTTATATTTTCTTCCAGGGAGTTTTGCTTTTGACATTTAGGATTTACTCTACCTGGAACTGACTGTGTATGATATGAAGAATGGGATCCAATTTTCCCCATATAGATAACTCAAATTGCCTCATCACACCTGCTATGAAGAGTTCAATCTTTTTAAAATGCTACTCTATCATCTATTACATGTCTATATATGGGCTGGTCTCTTTCTGGATGGTTTATTCTGTACCACTGGTCTATTTAACTTTGCATCTATACCACAGTATTATTATAGCTACCAAGTAAGTTTTGTTATCTGGTAGGACAAGTCTTTCTACCCTGCCCTTTCTTTTCCTTTTTTTAATATTTTATTTCTTTGTCAGAGAGATAGAGAGAGAAAGAGCACAAGCAAGGGGAGCAGCAAGCAGAGGGAAGAGCAGACTTCCCTCCGAGCAGGAAGCCTGACTCAGGACTCAATCCCAGGACCCTGGGTTCATGACCTGAGCCGAAGGCAGACGCTTAACTGACTGAGCCACCCAGGCATCCCTCTACCCTGTCCTTTAGGTGTAAACCCTACTGCTGCCCTTTCCATATAAAATTTCTGATCTTGTCAAATTCTGCAGAAAGCCCAATGATAATTATTCGTGCTATTGGAATTAATAATTATGTAATAACATGAGAAAAATTTAAGACACTGAGTATTCCTATACATGAACATGAGATATACTTCTATTTATTTACATATTCTTCCATACCTAATGTTGTTTTTCAACAAAGACTTTACAATTTTCTCAAAAAAAATCTTAATTTACTATTTTTAAAATGTTCTGCAACTGTTAGATATTTAGAAGGCTCTCAAAGCTTTATTATTGACTCTCATAATAAACAATCATTTAATGAGCAAAATCATTGGCTGAATTTGTAAACAGTACCTTAGGGTCAAGTCTTAGAGAAGTTTGTCACCTGTAAGTTTTTGACCACAGTATAGAGAGAAGTTAGAGTCCTATTATTAATCTCTAATTTTTCTGAATCTCAGTCTCTAATTTTTTAAAAAATTCAGAGCATTCTATTTTACCTCATCATATTAAAAAAGAGTTCTTTCATATGTATTACCAGATGTGTCATACTAATACAAATACAATTCATGATATGATTTTGTAACTCTAAGTAACATGTTTAGAAGGCTAGTCATAATGACAAACCAGGAAGAAAAAAAAACAAACCTGATTAAAAAAAAAGTTGAATTCCATCTTCCATTGGAATGTTTAAAATTGAGAAATGAATTTATAAAAGGTATGATTTAGTCACTTTAAGTTATGTCTGAGTACTGGAGTTTATTTAACAACATTTAGCTAAGTTTCAGTTCTCAAAGTACTGATCTCTGTCACCAGAGACGTGGCTGCTTGGTCCACCAACATTAGCTTCAGGATGACCACTGAATAGAATAACGCTGGGACAGAACAGTTTTGGGCATGTCTAGAGGTAAATCCAAGAAGCAGCAACAGAAACTCAGTATACTGCTTCACAATTCCCTCTGACTCTCTCCTTGCTCTACTACCTTGATAAAAGAGATCAGTAAGAAGTAGAATAAAAGCATGGCAGCCATTCAGCTCTCCTCTCCTAGCATGCAGTCTGTAGCACCTGAACTTAACCCTCTTTTTGTCATCCTAGGAAGAATTAAGTCCATTCCACTAGTGGAAGCCTCTATTGGTAGCAGCAATTACATTCAAAACAGGAGGGAGAAAAGAGAGAAAACAAAGTATGATTTATGTAAGGAGAACACACACACACACACACACACACAACAACTGAAAGCAATCCTTAGCAGATGAAAATTTAGCAGGTGTAAACTATTTTTCTTAAAAAAAACTTTTCATTATAAAATAAAACACAGACAACACAAAATATATTTATATTAACAAAATAACAGTGTCATACCTTCAGAATGGGCTCCGTAGAGGGGCAGGGAAGTAAAATGATTCTTTCTTTTCACTTTGAATAGTAATTTACATTTTTTACCAAAAGCTTATATTAGTTTTTATAGTAATAACTTTTTAAAGACTAAATAAAGTTAAGCAAAACCACTAGAATTAAAAAGCAGATTCAAGTCACAAAATTTATCATTTTTTTTAACCCTCTGCTGAAGTCACACAACTCTGGGTCTACTTAGGAGCTGAATGATGTTTGGATGTTCAATTCTAAATAAATCAGATGCCTAGCACAGTAACTGAAACATTCTAGAATATTCAAAAAATGTGAGTGCTCTTTCTATTCAATAAAAATGCTAATTTTTACTTTAAAAAAATAAGAAATAATATTTATTCATGTTACATTTCATAGAGAAGGGAAAAAAGGCCAGGAAGAGTTAAATTTAATATGTAATATGACCTTCTGAATACATTAACTGTCATTATTAATAGGTTAATATTCCAAAAGGAAGTACGGGATACCATTTACAAGGCTCAGAACTCACTTACCTGGTGTGTCCTAAAGATTCTCGCCATATTGGTAGCATCACAACAGGTTTGACGGCACACTCCAAAATTGCTAAAGCCAGTGCAAATTCTCTGGGTTTGCTACACATCTGAACTGCTTTGATCCAATTTGCCCTGCATTTCAGAAGGAGGGGGAAAAAGTTATTTTACTTGTTGGTCTTAAATTAAAACCACAAGAGCGGTAATTTCTGTCTCCATCTCATACAGCGTATGTTTCTAGGCTAAGCAGGTTTAAATATACTGCTACTGAAAACTCCTACCTCACAGAATCATAGTTTTTTTATTTTTATTTTTATTTTTCGGTGCGGAATGGTGGTTTTATTAAAGCACAGGGGCAGGACCCACGAACCCCAGATTTTCAACACTAGCAGGAATCCCAGAGATTAAGTAGTCTTCCCACTCCTTAAGCCTCCTACAGTGTTCTGGAACTTTGACTGGCCCCCTCTTGACTCCAAGGATGAAGACTCCACCTTCCAGAAATCTTCCAAATGCTAATGTTGGTCCAGTAACTTAGAAGTATACTCACATCCCTAAAGTCCTCAGTGTTTGGCTTAACTAAACTGACTTCATTCAATTCATGGGTAATGAGTTTCAAGTGAGCGCCTGCAATAATTACTTTGTAAATATTTAATGTATTCACAACAATAAATGAACCTTAGCTTCCCTTACCTGTGTGAAGCCCAGTTTGGATGAAGAAAGGATGAAGGGATATTGTTTTCTAGTTGGGTGATAGTCAGTCTCAAAGTAGATATGGTAAGAACCTTGGACCCGTGGACAGAACCGTTCCATTTGAACTCTCCTGCTGGAGTCAGACAGAATTTATGTGCAAGATGTCTTCTCTTATCATGATCTTCTCTGTGCTGGTGTTTATTCAAAGCAAATGAGTTGGTGGAGTACTGATTGTGGTAGACACGATACTTCCCTTCTTGACCCAACTTAAAATAATTGTTGATATTTCCTTTCATGACCACTTCCTTTTTGGTGCTCAACCGTGAAATTTCTCCTTGAGAGTTAACTACCAGTACCTGACCAAGAAAATAAAAAGACTCATTATTCATATCAAATATGTAAACTTGATCAACTGTCTTTCAATAATCTGTGATTTATCATTCCAAATAAAGTTCAGGTATATCTTACAACTGAACGTTTGAAATTTGTAAGTGAAGTTAAAAGCTACACCTGTTTACAATTAAACAACCAAGATCTTCCCATAAAAAGAACCCCTACTAAGTGCCTATTATATGTCAGACATTATGAAGTATTTTTAAGTATCTCAAATATACACACAAAACCACATGTGTACCTCAATCACCAATCATTACTTCAAGCTTATAATATACAGGGTAGGGAAAAAGGGAATACATGTACTATTCGCCAAAAATATTCCTGGAAATATATTTTTGTCTGCTCCTTTTATTATTCCAGCTTTAGTATGACAGCCCATGGATACTTTAAAATCATGTTTTCAAACAGCTGATCCCAATCCTTTAGTGAACCGTGAGATCAATAGTGGATCTTTCTCAACTTTTAAAAAAACAAAATACAACACAATCAACTAGACTAGAAGATAAAATACCAGAGTGCTTCCCACATGGTAAGGTAAAATACTATTTCAGGAAATTTCTGAATGTGTGTACTGGGTTGCTATGAAAAATGTCATACTGAGGGTCAGAGTGAAAAACCAGCTTGGAAGCTATTGCTTTTAAAGAAATTCCTATGATGTTTAGAAAAAAACACTATATATTCTTGCATATCTACCTTGCAAATAATTCTTAAATATGGGAGACCCAGTTGTGGCATGATTCTGCCACCCTGGCCAGCTGGGGAACAGAAATACTAATAAGTCCTAGCTGGGGTGCCTGGCTGCCTCAGTTGGTAAAGTGTCTGACTCTTGATCTTCGGCTTGTGAGTTCAAGCCCCATACTGGGTGTAGCGATTACTTCTTAAGAAATAAAAAATAAAAATAAAAATAAAAATACTAGGGGCGCCTGGGTGGCTCAGTCGGTTACGTGTCTGACTCTTAATTTCAGGTCAGGTCATGATCTCAGGGTTGTGAGATCAAGCCCCTCATTGGGTTCCTTAGTGGGGAGTCTGCCTGAGATGCCCTCTCTCCCTTACCCTCTGCCCCCCCTTTTGTGCATACTCTTTCTCTCTCTAAAATAATAAAGAAATCTTTAAAGGGGGGGGGGCTGGGTGGCTCAGTAGGTTAAGCGTCTGCCTTTGGCTCAGGTTACGATCTCAGGGTACTGGGATGGAGCCCCGTGTCGGGCTTCCCTGCTCAGCAGGGAGTCTGCTTCTCCCTCTCCCTCTGCCCCTCCTCCCTGCTCATGCTCTCTCTCTCTCTAATAAATAAAATCTTTAAATCTTTACTAAAGCCCACAAATAGTGTACTCTTTATCATATATGAAAAAGAAGCCTCTATCTCTTTAGAATAAAACTAACCATATAGTAAGAAAGTATACCACCCAATTACAGCATTTCCCCACAGGAAGTGAAATTTGGGTACACAACTATATTTATTGTATAAAATATGTATTATATGTATTATAAACCTAACCACTTTTAACCTGCTACCCACTACACTCTTGAAAGTAGAAAAATACAATTCAAAAGTAGGTCTACAAACTTCCCACCCCTATTTCTCAGTTCGGATAAATAAAATTATTTCACATTCCAGAGATTTTTGTTTTAAACAGAAAGAACATACCTCTTTGCCCTCCTTAAATAATTTATTTGCTTCATGGGCTGCAGCTGCCACCTGTTGGCTCTTCAGCTGGCTAAGTTTGCTGTCTGGATTCCGTAATCTGGTGATAATTCGAGTTGACCCAGATGCCCCTCTTCCGGCTCCAGGAGACTCACTTATTTCCCCATTAGACTTCTCTGATTTGAAATCACCTGTTATCAGATGAAAAGCCAAAAGTAATTGCTAACAGTAAGTTATTTATAACAACACCTTACTTATCCAAAACTCTTATCTGATGCACATCTAAGATCCAGAGAGTAAACAAAAAGTCCTTGAATAGCCAAAGCAAATAATTCCTAAAGGTTTTACTTAAAAGAACTTTACTGTGAGTCACTTGTTATTTTACAGAAAATTCAAACATGCCAGGTTATCTGTTTCAAAGCTCATGTACTAGAAAACATGAAGGGCTACTACAAATATATAAGCAACAAACATCATAACTCAAAATGCACACTAATAAAACACTGCCTTATATATTCAATATGGATCCTGTACAAAAAGTAAAGGGTATAATTAATTTTAGAAAGATTTCCATTGAAACTGTTTAAATACCCAATGATTTAAAGCTTATAAATGCCAAGTGAATTTTCACCTAAGGAACCTAGAATTATCTGTGTATGCAACTAATTATACATGTGAAATCAACTAAATTAGTTTTTTCACTATAATAAAGGCCTCTCACATTTTCTTAACAACTTAATTTTTTAAAGCCACAGACTGCACCACCAAGGGGCAATTAATGCTTTGCCAAGAATCTCACTTTGGCTGAAAATTTCTCTATATTCTTAAAACTATATCACTATCCAATTTCCATTGGCCAGATAGCTGAACAAGATTTCTCTCTGTGTTTAATTTAAAGCTCTTTAACATGAAGAATAGTGTGTCACTGGCAAATGAAAGGCCAAACATAAAATTTACTAAAGATGGCATTTTGAGTGGAGAAAAAAATTACATTGGGAAAACTGGCTATTTTGAAAAATACAAAAAACAATTCAGGAAACATTTCCTAATTTTATCTGACCAACACCCTTTCTTTCCTTTGTGCAGATGCTTTTCCCCCACATCAACCATGATTCAGCGAGGGCTACAAATCAAGATATCCTACCATATTGGGTGAACAACGTCACCCAGCTTAGCCTGACAGAGCATATAACCACCTGGCCACAGTGACTGTCCCAGATTCGGCTATGCTGCCCAGGCCATGCAGCATACTACTCTAATTTTTAAAATCTGGAGATGGATAAAGGGTCTTTTTTTTTTTAATTAAGTTTATTTAATATTTATTTAAGTAATCTCTACACCCAACATGGGGCTTGAACTCACAACCCCAAGACCAAGGGTCGTATGCTCTTCCAACTGAGCCAGCCAGGCGTCCCAGTTTTGCTTTTTGTGTTAGCGAACAAAAAGAGTATAAATTAGAGGCTGTCTACCTTTTATCCCACAACATGGGAAAAAACTTTTAATAATACGAGACAATAAGCTCATCGGGGGGCCGGTGGGAGGTGGGGTTGTGGAGGATAGGAGGAAGACCCGTGATAACCTCACTTGGTGCCCAGGGTCCAATAATGCACCTGAAGCTGTCTGTCACTACGTCTAGACTTCCCAACTGCATGACCCAATTAAATTCCCTTTTTATTTTAAGCAAGTTTGGTGGATTTCTGTCACTTAAAACCAAAAAATTCTAAATAATCTAGAGTATTTAAGATTTTTGACCCCAAAATATGGGTAAGGGATACCGGGTGTTTTTCCATCCCAGGCTGGAAAGCTAGAAACCTTCAGTGTGTGACAGCAAAGCAGTTAATCAGACTATCAACAATTTTCTCTTGGGTCTCAGACCATGAGTCTACCCATGCTGAAGTTTTACGTCAAGATACTGAACTATGGTGGCTACTTCCTGAGGCTATCTATACGGTCCTACAATAAAGACTTTTTAGACAGCATCTTATCTAAGTTGGACTTCCTAAAAGGGGAAATGGAAGGCACAGTGCTTTTTAAAAGTCCTTCAATTTAGAGCCAGAGATCCAATACATTTGAGAGTCAATCCTTTGACACTTGTTTCTTTAAGTTTATTTATTTATTTAAGTAATCTCTACCCTCAGTGTGGGGCTCGAACTCATGACCCAGAGATCAAGAGCCACATACTCTTCCGACTGAGCCAGTCAGGCACCCTGACACTTGCTAAGTTTAATAAGGGAAAGGAGGCAGAAAATTCACCCCTAGGGGTAAGAACTTGAAAGGGCTGAGAAAGGGAACAGGGCTTATCCAACACCCCCTGCCCAAAGGCCACATTCCTATCATAAAGGAGTGAATCACTGCCATGCAGCCTGGAGGCAGGATACAGAGCTGCTTTACCCCAGCCTCCAGAGCTCATTGTTTAAGGATGGCAGGAGGCAGAATTCTGCCTAGGCAGGACTTCATTCACCCAAAGACTAGGGAATTGGGTCTGCAAAGTAGACCAACAGAGCAAGTAGAGGGGCTTTACCTTCAGAGACCCGGAGAAGAGTTTCTGGGTACTGGGGACCCAGCTGGGTACTCAGACAATCTATGAGGGAGTGCTGCTGCCAAATCCCCAACAACCCATCCCTGACGACAGCCAGCAGGAACTAGCTGCTAAAGCAGAATGGCCTCCTGAAGGGGGATCTTCCCATATATTTCTCACGTTTCATCCACAGCCACCCTCCCAAAAAAACAAGGGCAGCCAGAACACCCTCCACTATCAGGATAACAAGTGTGACAGGCAGTTAAATTCATAATTTGGCTCATAGATTGTGAGACTAAGAGAAGCTATACCCAGACCTAATCAAAAATAAAAATAATACACAACACACAGAAGTTCTAAATAAAGTTACAACTACCAGAGGTAATTTTGGGAAGTTTTTGAAAAAATCTTCAGGTGTGGGTGAGCTCTTTGCATTGTGTTAGGCAGAAGCATTTCTGAATTTGAGTGAGTATGTTTGTGCCGAGCTACCAAAGGGTGTAACTGTGGGGATATTTGTTTCCTATCTTTGCAGCATTCCTCGTTCTTTGGAAAACCATTCCTACCCCACTCCAATCATATACTTTTGCTGGAGCCATCAATTATAATACCTTGCCTGCCCTGGCCACAGGGGTGGGAACAATATGTCCAAGATAGGCCACTCAAATTCCTTCCTCAAGGACTTTTGATTTGGAGCAGGAGTAGGGGCCTTGCCTTTGGGTCACAGACCTTGGAAAGATAGGAATACAAACCGCTGATGCCATCTTCCCTGCCACTTGGAAAAAGCCTGTCTGTATTAGGAGAGAATGAAGTTAACACACAAACATATGCACATCAAAAGGTGGAGAGAAAGAGAGGAAGACAGAAAAGCTTTGATACCTGGGGGTCCAGTTATGCCTGATGATGGTTTGGACTTCCCAATTACATGAGCTAGTTAATTTCCCTTTTCACTTAAGCTAGTTTAAGCTGGTTTGGTAGCTTGCAACTGAAAACAAGTTCTAATTAAAACAGATCTCCATCTCCTACCATACACAAAATTATACAGCAGGATTAAAAACAAAGTTACACAAGTATTATGTGAAATTACTATAAAACATGTATATGCTTGGGATAGGATCTTCCTTAGTAAGACACAAAATCCAGACAAACCCTAAAGAAAAAAATTAGTAAATTTAACTATATAAAAATATAAAAGTTTCTATATAACAAGTTAACAGGAAGAGTTAAAACAAGCAATGACCGTGTAAGTATATACATAAAATCAAAGATAACAGCCATAATACATAAAGCATTCCTAAGACTCATTAAGAAAAACTATCAAAACGCAATAGGAAAAAATGAGAAGATATAAGCAATTCACTTGAAAGTTCAACAAACACATAGAGAAACTAAAAACATTAGTAAGCAGAGATATGCAAATTTTTAAGTGAAATATTTTTTCATCATTAGCAAAAAAGAGACCGATGTTGAATTTAGGTAACAGTATGAAAAAATACATATGTTTGTAAATTATTGGTATAAATCCCTTTTACTATACAACTAAGCAGCAGTCATCACTATTTTAAAAATGTACCTACCATGTGACCCAGCAATTCCACTTACTGTTCCTGTCCTGCCAGAAATACTTGCGTAAGTACACAGAGATATATGCTGAGGATGCCAAAAAAAAAAAAAAAGCACCACTATTTGTAATAAGAAAAAAACTGTTAACAGCCTGTATGTCCACTAACAGAGAAATAGTAAATGAATTACTGTTCATCCATACCGTGGAGTATCATGCAGCAGTTTAAAAAAAAAAAAAAGAGTGAATTCAATTTATATCATGAAAAGATCCCCTACATGTATTACTGAGTGAAAAAAAGCAAGATGCAGAACAATGCATGCAGAATGATTCCATTTATGTAAAAAAAAAAAAAAAATTAAAAAAAAACCTTTTGTAAAAATACCTACATTAATGTAACCACATGGAGAAAGACAGAAAATGTTACACACCAAATCGATGACTGTGGTTACCTTTGGGGAGGGGGTACTAAAAAGATTTATTTTTTCCTGCGTGCTTTTGTATTTTTTTAAATAAACACCATGACAAGTGCTACTTGAGTTCAAAAAAAAAGAGAAAAAAAGAGGAAAAGAAAATCTAAGTCTTCCCACCCCATCAAACTTTTATCTAAAAAATTAAAAATTAAAAAAATTAAAAAGCTCGCTTTAATGGATGAAGTGTATTCTTACCTATCTCTTCTTGAACAGAGACAGGTGTGTGAGACTCTCTCTCTCCGTTTTCAGGCTCATCGGCTGCCTTAGCGGGTTCACTCTGGGAAGAAGCTAGTTCACTGCTGCTGTTACTGTTTTCCAGATTAGGCTGGATGGAGGTAGTGGGAGCACTAGTGTTACTGCTGTCACATGTCTTGTTAGGTTCTTCTAGAAAAATAGAATATCTGATTTTTAGATTAGAAGTCACATGAAAAGTAACTACTTTGTCAGAAAAGACATTGAACTGTTTGAGGACTGCATTACAAAGCTAGAGTATAAAAAGAAAAGCTGCTCATATACGAAGAATGGGATGTCTGAGACCTATAAAACAACACCCTACGAGTTATTTTTGAAGTCTCTCAGTCTGCTAACTCAGACTCTTACCATCTTAGTCTCTAGTACAAGGCAGACAATCTTTCAGATTCCCCAGAGCTGAAGAAGAATAAAGTGATACAACTACCCCACAAAACTCAGAAGTGGTTTTGAGATAATCCCTCAAAATCTGAAATTTACACTCTTACTTTTCAAAAAGTAGTCAGTTTTAGAAACAGCATTGAACTAGATTATTTATCTCTAAGATTTTCTGCTTGAATTCTGTGCTCCCAAACTAACTAGAAGGTAATGCTGAAGTCATTGTAAATTTTAAGAACAATTTAATAGTTATCATTAAGAATACTATTCCTAAAAGTCTATCAAAATGAACACTACCATGAACTGAAAGCCTAGGTCTTTCCATGATAGTTCAGAAATTAAGAGCCTCCTTCCTTCTGTATTTCATTTTGTCACTAGGGTAGTCTTTAAATCACCTAAGTTAAAAAGGAGTTGGCAAGGGGCGCCTGGCTGGGCTCAGTTGGTTAAGCGACTGCCTTCGGCTCAGGTCATGATCCTGGAGTCCTGGGATCGAGTCCCGCATCAGGCTCCCTGCTCAGCGGGGGGGTCTGCTTCTCCCTCTGACCCTCCCCCCTCTCATGTGCTCTCTCTCTCCCTCATTCTCTCTCTCTCAAATAAATAAATAAAATCTAAAAAAAGGGGGGGGGGTTGGCGATATATCACAAAGGCTATCCCTAATGTATAATGAGCTCCTATTAATTTTTTTAGGAAAAAAAATCTCAACAACCTGATAGAAGAATAAAAAAATCTATAAGCAGTCACAAAAGAAAATGGCCTTTAAACATTTGGGGAAATGCTCACTTAATTCAAACTAAAAGAAATGCAAAGTAAAACTATATGGAGCTTCCCAGCTATCTGGCTGGCAAAAATCCAAAACCCACAATACATTCAGGCAAAGAGGCAGTTTGTTAATAGGCACTCCCACATAATACAGCAGGAGTGAAAAATGGGACAAAGTAGATAAAAAGGAACTGACAATATCTACACATGTACTCTAAACCTACCAATCCCATGTCCTAAGATCTATCCCAAAATACACTGGTAAAAACACTAAATTACTTATTTACAGAGCTATTCACTGCAGCATTATTTATAATGACAAAAGACCACAGACAAAATGTCCATCGATGGGGCACTGATTGAATAAAAGGTGACATACACAATGAAATATGTATCATAACAAGGATTGGGGAAATCACCAGATCCATACATGAATGATTGAATGTAAAAAGAAAAGTACAGAATAGCAGTTACAGTATGCTAACTTCTGTGTAAGAAGGGGAGAGAAATATAAATTTATAGGTAGATTTTGCCTTTATTTGCAAAGATTTAAAAACACTGGGAAAATAACCCAAAATTAACAAATGTGGCTACCTATGAGGAATGGAAAAGAAATGATTACCTAGAGAGGGAAAGGACAGATGTGAAAACTCTCTGTATACAGTTATACAATTTGGTTTTGGAATCATGTAAATGCTTTACATTTTTCTAAAAATTAAAGTTAGAAATGCAATCCCTAAAAACTGAGAACTGAAACAAATTAACCTAGTTGTATATCAAAGGTTATTGGCATAACCACACAGAGAAAAAAATTATTTTAAGTGACTCTGGAACACAGTACTTTGACTGTATGTCTTTACTAGAAATATGGCATTAGTATGAATAAAGAACTATAAAAATCATCTTAAATGCTATTTAGTGGTCTTACTGCCAGCAGTAATAGTGGTATTACAAAATTACTACGATATGTAAAATCATTTCTTATTAATGTACACCAAGATGTTAATAAGACATATATTAATAATGTTATTACTAATGGACATCCCTATTAGGACAAAGCAAATGTGTAATTAAGTTACTACTCTGTTAGGAACTAAAGCTTTCAGTGTAGGGGAAGAGATACAAGTTTAAAACCAAGGGGAAAAGAAAAAGAAAGAAAAAGAAAAAGGGAAAAAAAAAAAAACCTAAGTATGCAATCCTCAATCTGAATTTGAAATGTCAATATGAACTGATGATCTTTTTCTTTTCAAAAATACATATTTCCTAACACCATCCACCAAAAAAGCCTAAAGGCAATTAACAGCCCAAGAGCAGTAAATACCTCTGGGCCCAGATTGTGGTCTCTAATATCATTCCCCACTAAAAGGAACCAGGACTTCTTGGAGGAATGACTGATTCCAGGTCTGGGGTAGGAAATATGTAAGATAAGCCTCATACATCTTATTCTGTCAAAAAGCAGGGAAGCTCTTGGAGCGCCTGGGTGGCTCAGTCATTATGCATCTGCCTTTGGCTCAGGTCATGATCCCAGGGTACTGGGATCAAGCCCCACATCGGGCTCTCTGCTCAGTGGAAAGCCTGCTTCTCCCTCTCCCACTCCCCCTGCTTGTGTTCCCTCCTCGCTCTCTCTCTCTCTCTGTCAAATAAATAAATAAATAAAATATTTAAAAAAAAACAAGGCAGGGAAGCTCTCTAAGACTACCAGGGTCACGGAAAAAGGACTCAAAAGAAAACATGAAGGGGTTTGCACTGGTCAATATATGCGCTGGTCAATATAAGCAAAATGAATAACTACAACAAACTGAATACATAAAGACCCATGAGTTCAAACAGATATTTAAAATTAGAAAGCCATGCCCCTGTGTAAAAGTTCGTAACTCATGAATCACTACTGAAGGTAATGACACCAACTCCTGATTCTGAAAAATAATTGAACATGTATTCCTGCTCTAACTACATTTCAAAGTATTCAAACAGCCTCAGTTAATGAGGGAAAATTCTTCACAGAATTCCAGTTAGACAAATAGAGAAAAAAGACAGAATTAAAAAGCACCATATTATAATCTCCAAATAACTGATTCTGAAATGATCATCAATGAATGAGGTTAACAGGAAACTTTACAATGTCACTACCTGAACTCACTGATCAATTTCAGCATTTATAAAGGCAGACCACAAACAGACATCATGAGCCTTTTGATGCTATATGATATGAAGTACCCAGCACATAGCTTATGGAATATTCTTGCCAAAAATAGTTTAAAAATTATTTTAATCAAGATTTTAGAATAAATTAAAGAACACTAAGAGGAAGGAAACAGACAAATCCTGAACGTGGGATATCCCATAGCAAGATACACTATGATTCTTCAACAAGTCAACAGTGTATAGAGGAAAAAAGTCGGGGAAGGGGAGAGTACTCTAGGCTAAGACGACTCACGAGATATAAAATCAATTGTCACGTCATATGGGAACCTTATTTGGAATTATTACAAACACAACAAATGTAAAAAAAGAAATTTTTTTTTAAGTGAGGAAATTTAAACTGACAGAACAGTAGATGATATTAAGGAACTGGTATCAATTTTATTAAAATGACAATGACACTGTAATTATGTAAGAAAATGTTCATATTTTTTAGAGATGTATGTAAGATTGGTGTAACATGATGTCTGGGATTTGCTTTAAAATACTGCAGTAGGAGAGAACCCCAAATCGTATTAACAAGAAAGGGGATAAAAAAAACTGTGGTACAGTTGCACAGAGGAATATTACAATACAATTAATATGAAAGAACTCCAGCAACATACATTATATTAGTAATATAATATAAAGTGAAAAAATTAAGTTCCAAAAATTTACACTTAACACAATACACTTAATATATATTTAACACAATACACTTGGAATAAAGTTTAAAACAACTACAAGAGAAATATATAGTTTTTAGCAAATTATGTAAATCAACTCAATGAAGCAAAAGCATGTGAATTATATATCACTTTGATCTCCAGTATCAACAGTCTTGATTCTACTGTGTATCCCTTATAAAAACAAAAGAAGATGTTAGTGAACACAGGATTCAGAGTGACAACTACTTCAGGTAAGGGACAGGAAGGCAGAGAATGGACTGGGGAAGTGATTATAGATGCAGGTTAGTTTCAAAGCAGGACTTAGCCTTTTGTTTGGGGTGACAGATTCCTGGGGGTTTATTTTCATTATTAAGTAATTTAAAACCTGAATGAATAAATTAAGGGATGCTATGCAATGGCCAATGACGAGTACAATTAACTAAGGATTGTGATTTATCTGACAATGTACACCTAGGGTCAAAGAGGAAAACATTTTTTCGAGCCAAAAAAAGAAAAAACAAGGAGTTAAAAAAAATCATGGGTAAAGCAAGTATGACAAAATTTGATAATGCTTTTTTATATAAGTGTTAGATATATGGCAATGTGGGTGCGGTCATTATACTCTTAACTTTTCTGTATGTGTGAAAATGTTTATAGTAAAAAAATTTTATATGAAGGATTTCAAAATGCCAAATTTAACATATGACAGTTACAAACCAGTAATAAAATCAACTAAGTCAGAAAAATCTGGAACAAAAGAAGTCTCTCACAAATAATATCAAATTCTTCACTAACCATTCTTTTTACAGCTGTAAGATCTAGATTTGTAAGGTGTAGTAGTCCTAATGTATAACGGTCTAACTATCATCTTCTCCAATAATGAAGCAATATATAAAGATATCCCCCCATGACCTCAGAGTGCACTGTCTCACAGAATAAGAAAAAGAGATTAGACTCTAGACCAGCCCACAAAAACTTACAATATTAGTGCATAATATACTCCAAGTATGGTAAACTAAGAAAATTCTGGGATAGGAACTTAAGAGATTCTGACTATATATACACATCTTAAAATACTTTAGAGAAAGTGTTTTCTGCTATTAGGGAGATAATGGTACTTCATACAAGGATAATGGTACTTCATACAAG